TCCGCGGCACGTGGGATCTTCCCGGACCGGGGCACGAACCCATGTCCCCTGATAAATTTTCGTAAAAGGAGTAGATAAGGCTTCCCTGGTGGCACAGTGGTTGGGAGTCCGCCTGCCGATGCAGGGGACACGGGTTCGTGCCCCGGGCCGGGAGGATCCCACATGCCGCGGAGCGGCTGGGCCCGTGAGCCATGGCCGCTGAGCCTGCGCGTCCGGAGCCTGTGCTCAGCAACGGGAGAGGCCACAACAGTGAGAGGCCCGCGTACCGCAAAAAAAAAAAAAAGGAGTAGATAAAGCGGTTATGCTAGTTATTTAATTTATTTAATTATAATGACTTGAAAATGCACAGTGTTTTATAAGGCATAATATTTCAAAATTTAAAAGGTGCTCTCGTGGAATAATCTAAGTCAGTCATTTGACATGCACTGCTTCATTCAGGCATGTATAGATACTCTCACTGAAGATGACAGTCTAATTTAAAATAATGTCATGTGGCTGAATTTATTAGTTGTATAAAAGGTGGGACTTTATAAAAGGGAAGAACTGTTGCGTTAATCTTTCTCTCAGTGCCTGACACTGCTCTGAGCACAGAGACAGAGATATGAGTAAGATCCAAAGAGTCTTTAATATTCTGGCTGTTAAAGCATAGATTCTCTAATCCGTTTGTCAGCAAGCCTTAAAGTGCTCTATTTATATCACTGGATTTTTAAAATCAGCAGAGAGAAAGATTTAACAGATTAAAGGACTTCACATCTGTCTTTGAAAATTATAGTATGCTGTGTGGAATTCGAGGGCATGTCCTCTCAGGTTTAAAAATAGTTATTATAACTGGTTTCCAGACAGGAAATCATCCTCATTTCCACTTTCTTATCTAGGAGGCATGCACTTTTAGTGCTCAAACCTGCCCTAATGCTATGATTCTGTGTTTCTTACCGTGTGCTAGCTAAAAAAGAGAATCTGACCTCCCTGACTCGTGGTTGGTTTCTTCCTCTGTAGAACTAAGATAGTCTTGTCTATCTCCAAGTTGAACTGCAGTTAGATAATAGATCTGAAAGGACTTAGAAGCTCAGTTCAATGTAGCTTTTATTGACAAGGGTGCTTTTACATGAAGGCAAACAAGTACTTTACAAGGTTTAAAAAGCTATACATAAGGGTGTGGATGACAACGTGTACTTCAAATGCTTAGTTTGGTTTCATCCTTGTCACGGCATTGTTTTAAAGCTCTTGGCTCTGCCTGTTAAAGCAAGTTTTCCTGACAATCTTCTGTGTGTCAATCAAGGAGTCACACCCATCCAGTTTTACAGAACAAGGCTTCTAATTGATTGTCAGTGAGTCAGTTTCACACCCATCCTTATCTTTGGCAGTTTTCTGGCTCAAACATTCAAGACAGGCAAAGCTTGTCTCATGTAAGTGGATGGGTTGAGCAAGTTGAGCAAAGGATATTGAAGTGCTTAGCACAGAACTGGACACTGAAGATATGATAAAGTCATAAACCGACCATTTTCTTTTCTTAACAGCTTAAAAGAAGCTGAAGAAAATGCCAAGCGAGAAGGTGAAACCAAAATTCGACGAAGTGCTGAAAAGGTAAATTTCTCATCAATACAGTTTGGTTCTTGTGGACATAAATATTATCAATTTATACTTGAACCTTTAAGGTAATTCAGTAATGTCATTGTTCTTCATTATTACATTGAACTTTTCTCCTTAATTTTAAAGTTTCCCAAGTTGAATTCCTAGTACAATATTCCTAGTATAATATTCCTAAGTATATTAATCACTAGATTCAAAGTTAAAATAGCATTTCCCACCTAAAGCTCAAAATACTCTGCTTGCTTAAAAAAAACGAGAAGACAAAGTTTATGCAAATTAAATTTTGCTTAGTTTCCACCAGACTTCTCTTTGACTTAGTGTAAATTACTTTTGCTTTGAATAAATTAGTTAAAAAAGCAACTTAATATAAATTTGACAGGAATAACTTGAAAATAATTCCAGAATCTTTTAAACAGTATATCCACTGGTGTATTTTATGTATATTCCCACTGATGCAAATTAGTTATTCATTTTTCCATTATGGTTATTATGTTCAGAGAGGCGTGCATTTATAAAGGTCATGCTTCTGATTAAACAAAAACCTCAAACAATTAATTATTGATATTGTTTTTAAAATAACTTTAAAATTAAGGTTTTTCAAATTATTCAATGATTTAGTTTTTCAATCTAGTATAAAAAATTATTCCTTTCGTTAATTGAATATGCATTGTAGATAACACAGCCTGGATTTCTTAAATCACCAAGGTTATTAAACCCTACTTTCAGTGAAAGTGATAGCAGCTACTTTGGTAATGAGTAGTCTTTCGTTGAAAAGTCAGAACACCTGAGTTTTAGTCCTTCTCTGGGTGTGTGAAACTGAGCAACTCATCTCTTCTGTCTAGGTCTCAATTTTCATTATTAGTAAAATAAGGAGGCTGGGTAAATGATCTCAATTTTACCCTCCTGTTGGATTCTGATTCTGTGTCCTGCACCCTTTGGTGCTAATAAAAAGATACTATTTTTGTGGATTGTAGGGCATATGTTTTCCTAAGGGAGACACAGGTGCAATTTTTGGTAGTTAAGAGCTGAACTTCCACTTCATAATGCCATTCAATGAAACAAATGTCCCACCCTAAATAGGGCATTCAGAATTTAAATTAAGAAACACAGAGCATTCATAATTATCCATAATGTGGTCAACACTCACAGATTTGAAAAGCAATTTTGTTGTGGTGCTTGTTAAATTTCAGTATAACACTTTGGGTCATCTTGTGATATTCAACATTTTATTACTTCATAAATAGGGAGTTTCTTTTCCCTTGTCTTTCATCATGCCTCAGCTACTTTTCCTTCTTTTTGTCTGTGGCTGGGATCATTGTTTTGGTGGGGTCATTGGACATGATTATGTTGAACAGGACTGCATTATTGTGATGGCTCAATATTTGCCCCATAATTAACCTGTCAGTGGGTTGATCACACAGCATTTCTTTAGAATCTCCTTGGATGAATCACAACTTATAAACTGAAATTATCATTGTTTCTTTTATGGGAACCATTGAGCATCAATTTCATTACCACACTGTGATTATCAGGTGACTGGCTTCTGCGTCTGTATTCCTAGATTGTTACAACCAGGAAGTTCGGAACACACCCATTACTCCTCTAAAGACAAATATCTCCTCATTAGATTCTCTTTTAAAGTGTCCTAATGAAGTGTGAGTTATATATTTTTTTAAATCAGAGAATACTAGATCTAGAAAAGGTCCTAAAGAGCAGCTATTCTGAAAACTGCCTTTGTGTTGGTAGTGAGACTGAAGTCTCAAAGGTGATGTGACTTTGCTATGGTCTCCCAGTGAGTTAGAGCCACAGTTTAATTTCCCTTCTGACTCCAAACCACACTCTCTTTTAAAATAAATTTCTTAATTGAAGTATAACTGATATGCAATATCACGTTAGTTTCAGGTGTACATCACAGTGATTTGATTATATATATATATATATATATACATATATATATATATATATATATATATATATATATATATATCAAAACGGTCACCATGATAAGTCTAGATACCATTTGTCACCATACAAAGTTCTTATAATATTACTGACTATATTCCCTTTGCTGTACATTACATCTCCATGACTTATTTATTTTATAATGGGAAGTCTGTACCTCTTAATCCCCTTCACCTATTTCCCCTACCCCGCCCCACTCCCCTCCCCACTGGCAACCACCAGTTTGTTCTCTGTATCTATGAGTCTGTTTTATTTGTTCCTTTGTTTTGTTTTTTTAGATTCCACATATAAGGAAAGTCATACAGTAATTACAATTCTCTGTCTGACTTATTTCACTTAGCATAATACCCTCTACAACCCATCCATACTGTCACAAATGGAAAGATTTCATTCTTTTTCATGACTGAATAATATTCCATCCATCCATACATACACATTGTATATATGTATATATGGCATCGTCTTTATCCATTTATCTACTGATGAACACTTAGGTTGTTCCACGTCTTGTCTATTGTAAATAATACTGCAGTATGCTCACGATTTTTTAGCTGAAATGGGAAGATGAGGGTCATACAGTTGAAAAAGGCCACAGAGAAGCATTTTTATAGATTATATTATAGTAATATATGCTATCAGGTAGTGTTTTGGTATAGTGTTTTAAAGTTTATATATTTATCATATATAATTAAATATAACTTTTGTATACACACATACCCACACACACATATATATGGCCCTTATCAAATAGAATTTTCAAAACACAGAGAGAAACTTGAAAATACTGAATTCAAGCATCAATCAGGAAATTTGTGTGTATAAACCTCTTCTGAATTTTGGGAGGAAGTCACAACCTTTTTAGGTTTTCTAAATGAAGATTAGTCTTGATGGTCTGCATTTCTAAGTGGGTAATGAAGGAAAATTAGGTTCACTCCTGAGGTTTCCACCTGCAGTGTTAGAAATGAACATTGATAAAGGTGGCAGAGTATATATAAAAATGATCCACAGAGAAAACAAATAGAGTAAGCATAATGCTGTTGGATACCGTCTTATTCCTTTTTCCTTGCAAACTAAGTAAATTGTTCTTGACTTGTTCCATATTAAGTAGCTCTTAAGTATCTCATCTTACAGATTCTATATTCTGCTCATTGGCAACACTTTTGTTTTGTCTTGGCTGCTGTGTTTTGTTATGTCTTTGTTGGAACCTCATGACAGATCTTTTATCTATTATCTTTTTCCATAGATTTGCAAGTGAACAAAAACTGATTTTAGAAAGTATTTGCTCAGCCTTATTCTTTCCTAGGCTCTTTTACCTTTTAATAAATACATGACATAGTATATACAGGTACCGAGTAATTTGACAATGTAATTACTATTTCTCATTAATATGTTGTGTGTGTTCACCAACACTTTCTAGATATGACATTCTTTGACTATAAATCCATGATGCACATTTTCTAGATTAAAGAATAGAAAAGTGCTAAATGTAATTACTTGTCTTTTTAAAGAATTTCTGCAAGGAATATGAAAACCAAGTGAGGAATGGAACACTTTCTTGTACATGGGAGAGTAAGCCAGTCCGTGGCCCTGATGGCAGGATGCATGGCAACAAATGTGCCCTGTGTGCTGAAATTTTGTAAGTATAGATGTGGTTTCTTTGGAGTTACTCAAAAGGTGAAGTGGAGAGTGACTAAAATGATGAATAAGAACAATGTTCACGGGAATATTTGTTGTTGAGAATTTTTGAGCTGTTTTATGTCCTCTACAAATCATAATACCACCTCATAAGTAGGCTCTAATGCTATATATTTCTTTTTTAATACAAATGGATTCTAATTTCCAGTAGGATGACTGGATTACAAAATACTTGTTAACATTTTCTCCCATGACCTTTGTAGGCCTTTTTATGACCTAGTTATAGTACAGAATGAGGGTTAAAAGCAGGCACTAGGACTTTGATTCTTTTCCTTCAGTAATTACCCCATTGTGGCAGAATAGATGGGATGCCCACAAAAAAATCCATGTTCGTTTGTGAACTGGATTAACTCTATCTTTTCATCTTGGACATCTGACCCTGGGGGAAGAGCAAATCCCACAACATATAAATTATGGCATTTATAAAGATGGCTCAGGAAAGGTCTCATCACATTTTTTTTTAGATCCTTGAACTCTATGAGCTCTTTCCTACACTTTCTGACCGCCAGTTCTTGTTTTGGCCAGCTAATGTCTCTTCTGTGGTTCGCATTTCAAGATTATCCTTCCTTGGATGAAATCTCCTAAAATCACTAATTAAATTCAATCTTTATAACACTTGATAATTTTATTTTATAATAGTCATCATAGTTGGTATTTGTATAATTATTTCTAGTACTATTTGTTGACTGTCACTCTTCTCTACTGGTCTGTAAGTTCTAAGAAGATAGGGTATGTGTTTATACTGTAAACTGCCCAGAGTGCTTTCCAGTGCTTGCCGAAAAATAATTACTAACCAAATGTTGAATAAATAAGTGAATGAATGAATGTATGGACAAAGATCCCTGCTCTCAAGAAGCTTAAGGCTAATAGCAAAAATAATCCTTGGATACACACACACACACACACACACACACACACACACACATACATTGCAAGACAGAATGAAAACTATCCTATGAGAGAAGAATATCCAAGTATGAAAACACACTGAAAGATGTAGAACTCATTTCCACTTTGACGTATGGGATGTCTTCTTAAAGAAGGTAGAATTTAAGCTGGGGAGGTTTAAAAGGGAAGATGACAAAAAAGAAAAAGGAAAAAAAAGATTGTTACAGTGGAAGGAAATGGCAAACTTAAAGGCAAAATGAAAGGGGTTCTTTGGGGAAATGGTGAAGATTTCAATTTAATAAGGGGCTTTAGGGTGATTTGAAAATGTTTGTTCTAAAACTCAGGAACACTTAGCTGTTTTTTTCCACTTGCCTCTAAATGACTATTTTATAGCTTGAAGATTCAAAACATCTATATTCACTTCCTTATTTTTGTTTCTTTCTCCAGCAAACAGCATTTTTCAGAAGAAAAAAATATAGCAGATGAACACCTGAGAAAGGCTAAAGAAAAAGTTAAAAGAGAAACTGAGGTGAGGATTAGTTTGATCAATTCAGTTACGACTTTCGTAGGGTGTGTGTGTGTGTACTTTACTCTAGAATGCATTTTCAATATTTATTTTTCCTCCACTACTAATGGGTTTCTGGAGACTAATTTTTAGTTACTATTTTATAAGATTTAGAATACTTATGACATTACAATTTTTAGCTCTATTTGGAGGAAATTAAGGCCCATTAGTAAAAACAGTTCTATACTCCTGAATGAAGGTGATATATCAAGCCTTATCTGAATTCAAAGTTGATATACATTCTTCAAATGTGTGACAGTTGTTTTGGGGGTTTTCATTTTGAAAGCAATAGCAATGTAAAATTTTAATATGATCCTTTTAAAATCATATGACATTCTTCTTTTAAAACACCTCTTAACTAGTCATCTCCCTTTTTTCCACTGCTGCCATCTTAGCACAGATACCTAATAGCTTTCTTTTGCATTGCTACATTAGCATCCTGCCTGTTCTCTATACTTCTAGCCAACATCTTCCTCAATCTTCAAGATTCAATTATTCTTCCATGTTGTTTTCAGAGTAGGAAATACTTCCATGAACCAATGGCATTATGAAAATCTAATGTTTACAGGTATTCTAGAGTGTATTTGGACCATTTCACTCCATTAAAGAGACCCTATTTAACTTATTTCTTAGAGTTATCCCACCTTCTATGAAGTGTAGTTCACTTTCATAAAATAGCTCATTCCCGTAGTCCACCTTCTGCCTTCATGTAACTATATCTTAATTGCTAAGGCCTGTTTCAACTGCTTTCTTTCCTTCAATCCTAGGTTACACAGTCCTTTTAATTTCAGCTGTTAAATGTCCCTCAACTATCCTATCTTTCACTTTCAATTTCTTCCTTCTTTTCTCTCTTCCTTTTCTTTTTCTCCCTTCCTTCCTTCCTTCCTCCCCTCCTCCCTCTTTCCTTCTCTCCCTCCCTCCCTTCCTTCCTTCTCTTCTATAGTTTCCCTAGCTTCAGTCTTTAGTCACTTAAACCCTCCACACATCCGACTGGATAATCTTTCTAAAACAAAGATTTGATTAGGTCCTTCTCTGCTATAAATATTGTTTTCCATTTCCTAAGAATAAAGTCCAAAGTCCTTTCAAACTTTAGTAGTCTGATTTTGACTTATCTTCAAGGTCTCCTTTTAACCAGTTCCCAAACCTTCCTCTTTGTGTCCTGCTAATTCTTTAGCCACTATACTCCTGACTGTAATAGATTATCTCAAAATAACATATTCTTTTACGCCTCTGTGTCTTTGCATATCATAATTCCTCCTGGAGGACTTTTTTGCCACATTGTTCTCCTAGGCACATTCTAAAGATATAACTCAAATATAAGCTCTTCTCTGAACTTCCTTGGATCATTCTTTCCTATATGCTAGTGCACACTTAATTTAGACATGTGTCATATCCCTTAGCTTTTTATATTGCAATTCCTTATCCTTTTCACTTGACATAAAATTGCTAAATCACATTCATATTTAATCCCTTTAACTTATCTGTTGAACACGTAAATGGATGAATCTTAATTAATTAATTTTAAAATTATTTTTGGCTGCACTGGGTCTTCGTTGCTGCGCACAGGCTTTCTCTAGCTGCAGCGAGCCGGGGCCACTCTTCGTTGCAGTGCACGGGCTTCTCATCGTGGTGGCTTCTCATGTTGCAGAGCACGGGCTCTAGGTGTGCGGGCTTCAGTAGTTGCAGCAAGTGGGCTCAGTATCTGTGGCTCGTGGGCTCTAGAGTGCAGGCTCAGTAGTTGTGGCTCATGGGCTTAGTTGCTCCACGGCATGTGGGATCTTCCCGGACCAGGGCTCGAACCCGTGTCCCCTGCATTGGCAGGCAGATTCTTAACCACTGCGCCACCAGGGAAGCCCCAAATGGATGAATCTTATAAGAAGAGAAATATCACAAAATTTTTGGACAGTTATACATCCTAAATGTTTTATTTTTTTATCCTTAATTCCTCTTTTCCAATATCTTTGATAAAGAGTATCTAAAGTTTATAGAGAACCATATCTAAACTGTCTCATTTTCTTTATTCAGAAACTCTGCAGTGAGTATCAGGATCATGCAATGAATGGAATCCCTTTCTGTACCAAAGAAAATGACCCTATTCGTGGCCCAGATGGGAAAATGCATGACAACTTGTGTTCCATGTGTCAAGACTTCTAGTGAGTACAGAGTTTTAGAATGTCGAAGAGAAAAGGGATCCTACAGTAATCTAATAGAACTAGCTTGTTTCATAGATGGGCAAACTGGGAAGGGAGTTCAAGAAGTTACATGGAGAATGTAAGTAATAGAGCTGGGAATAAGTACCTAGAGCATTTATGCCAAGATGTCTGGTACCCCCGACACTCATTCTCTTAGCACTGGAACATCCTGACTTATGCAAATTATCAAATTCTCCCTACTGCTGAAGCTTCATATTGTGAACCTGTTGTACAAGTTTATAGGCATCTCATCTTCCAGAGAGGCGAAGACCCAAAGTTAACACTTACTGCAGAAATTGATTATTGAAGTTGCCCATGAACTCTTATTAAATTACAGTAAATGTTACTTTATATAATGTGACATTTGTCAGTAAGTTATAACTGAGTTTGGTTTCAAAATTTGGGACTGTACTCAGTTTATCTGATTGAGTTCAGATTAAGTAGTTGACTCCATTTAGAATCTTTGGTCTTTTGTAATTTGATTGACAACCAGGTATGGTTGAAATACCATCGGTTAACTGTACATACCATGCAATTCCATTGTACAAAGCAAATTTAGGCTCATTTGGTTTATCAGTGTATGGAAATTATTAAAATTTTTCCACCCATCCTACATTTTCTTACAGATAACACAGCCATGAGTAAGCAATACATGTAAACTGAATTAATAAAGCTACGGCATACACGACGTGGTAGACAGAACATAGACTTGAGAGGAGAAATTTGGGTTAGTTGTCATATCCTGAGATTATAAGCAAAGCCCTCACCACCTCACCTTGTCTCTGTGAAACAAGGAGACCAGTCAATGTGCTTTATTAAGGCCACTTTCAGGCTCCAGGTGTAATGTCACCGCAGTACTAGTTTTTTTTTTTTTTTTTTTTTTTGCGGTACACGGGCCTCTTACTGTTGGGGCCTCTCACTGTTGTGGCCTCTCCCGTTGCGGAGCACAGGCTCCGGACGTGCAGGCTTAGCGGCCATGGCTCACGGGCCTAGCCGCTCTGCGGCATGTGGGATCTTCCCGGACCGGGGCACGAACCCGCGTCCCCTGCATCGGCAGGCGGACTCTCAACCACTGCACCATCAGGGAAGCCCATGGTACTAATTTTGATATCTCCTTGATGAACACTGATGATGTTCCTTTTCTGACCACAGCCAAAAATGGTAATTTACAGAAAGAAAGTCTCCCAAATCCACAAGTAACGCTATCTTTATTTCAGTGTTATGCAGAAACTATGAAGAAGTTACGGTATCTTATACTGGAGGGCTGTTTTGTTGCTTCTCATTAGTATGTAGTGATAAAGGGGCAAAGTTGCTCCTTCTTGAGGAGGGAGGACAGATTAGCAATGCAGAAATGTGGAGAAACCATTGACTGTGTTTGGTCCTATGGATCTGTCCTTTTTTTGTTTTGTTTTGTTTTTTTTCTAATTCAGCCAAGCAAAAGCTGAAGAAAAGAAAAAGGCTGAAGCAAAAGCAAGAAGTAAAAGAGAACCTGGAAAAGCAGGCTCACATGCAGTGAGTAGACTGTAATTTGAACACACTTCAAAGAGCCTGAAGGCTGGAATATTGCCCTGCAAAAATCCCCAGAAAATCTTAACCTTTCAATCTGGAGATGACATTGAGATGAATGATATGGGAGTTGATCAATTCTTGCTGCTTCAGAGACTAACTCTGTACAGTAAAAAGAACTTATTTGCAGTCTGAAAAAAAATGATTTCTAGTTCTAGTTTCATCATTTACAGACTATGCTAGCTTTTGCTTACCACTTTCCTGAGACACTTAGTGTATATTTTCTACGTGTGAATTTTTGAAATTTCACATCTGAGTTGGGTTCAAAATACATTGTACACACACAGAAAACATAGTTTTTACCTTTGAAATATTACAATATTCATTTTCATGGCTTTATTTAAGTTACCGTTAACTTCTTTAGATGATGAAAGTCTCCTCATCTTCCCTCTAAGTTCTATTCTTTTTCTTATCCAACCATCCTCCCTAACACAGCTGGAGTAAAGTTTCAAAATATTAACTAGATCATAATACTGCTCTTCTTAAAATGCACAAATAACTCATTATCAACTAAAGGATGCATTTCAATCCCCTTAACTCTCTTATTTGGCTCCTTACCGTCATTCAGAAATTCATGTTCTGCTATAGGCCATGTAGTTTCTGACATGTGCTTCTCAGCTTATTTTAGCAATCTAAAATGTGTATTTCTCAATCCATTTCTCAACCAGGAAAATCCTATTTACTCTTCAAAGTCTCACTCAAAGTATCCTAGTTCCCTGACATCTTCCCTGATTTCCACAATCAGATTTCATGGTCCCAACCTCTGAGTTCTCAGATTTTCTTGTACCTGTATGTTTGCACTTATTTTATTCTATTTAGATTATAGTGGAGTTTACTTATCTACCTCTTTTATTATACATCCTATTATGTCTTATTTGTTTCCATCTCTTAGCAAATCACGAGGTTTTTTTTGTTCAATTGAATTTTATATTTGAGAGAAACACAACTAAAATCCTGGGCTCAAAGATTAGTTTCTACCAATGTAGATGCTTCAAACTTCTGCTCTGAATGGGAATAAAACGTGTGTCCAAATCACCTTCTCTATCTTGGCAGAAGCTGTGCAGTGAATACCGCAAGTTTGTGAGAAATGGAAAACTCTTTTGCACCAGAGAGAGTGACCCCATCAAGGGCCCAGATGGGAAAATGCATGGCAACACCTGCTCCATGTGTGCGACTATCTTGTGAGTAGAGCTGCTGCTGGGAAAATGAGGGAGGGTTTTGTCCTTTCTGCTTCATTTCTCTTTTTTGGAGCTTTATTCTATTTTGTTTCTTAAATTGTGTTTGTTTCTTATCAATGGCATTTTTTTGTGACACATTTTTGCACAATGTCATAATTGTCAAAGAATGATTCCTGCATATCAATCACTGGTTGAGTTCCCGTGGAAGTGTAAATGACATGAAACAAGGATCATACCCTTGCAGAGTGGGATACGGAATCATCTGAAAACACGACAGATCACTAGCAAACATATCAATATGCCAAACAGTACATCAGTTCATACGTGGTTCATAATATATATAACTGTAATAACTGAATGATATTTGAGTATTTTAGATCACTTTCAATCTGGAGATTCTATGATTCTTACTCCTCTCTTTTTAAATCACTCTTTTTTAGCCGAGCAGAAGAAAAAGAAAAGAAAAAGAGGGAAGGTGAATCAAAAAATAAAAGGCAATCTGAGAATACATCTTCCTTTGAGGTGAGGGAACCTTCAACAAGTCAGAGGCATATGGACCTGGGATCCATAGATGGCATTCAGGGAACCCATAAATTCCCTTAAACTGTATGAAACATTGATACAGTTTGTGGTTTGTGTATTTGTTTATATGTGTGCATGTACACGTGCATATGTGACTATTTCTAGGTTGAGGGTCTGTAACTTTTATCATTTAAAAATATTCACGTCTTCAAAGTTAAGAACTATTCTAAAATTTGCTAAGTGCTGACCGCAGTTTAAGAAAAAAGTATAAACTTCAGCAGTTTTTGCAATCTGATCCAACCCGTGTTCAACACCTCAAACTTCCCTCCTTGATTTCACAGGAGTTGTGCAGGGAATACCACAAATCCATGAAGAATGGACAACTTCTTTGCTCTAGAGAGAACAGCCCCATCCAGGGCCCAGATGGGAAGGTGCATGGCAACCTCTGCTTCATGTGTGAGGCTCTCTTGTGAGTAGAGCTTGGGGCTTCTGAGGCAGTGGGGACAGGGAACTGCTAAGGGCAGTTTTCCAACAATTATGAATAATGCGTTTTCCTCTTCAGTGTAAAACTTCAGTGTAGTTTTCCTCTTCTTTTTTTATTTTTATTTTTTTTATTTTTTGCGATACGCAGGCCTCTCACTGTTGTGGCCTCTCCCGTTGCGGAGCACAGGCTCCGGACGCGCAGGCTCAGTGGCCATGGCTCACGGGCCCAGCCGCTCCGTGGCATGTGGGATCTTCCCGGACCGGGGCACAAACCCGTGTCCCCTGCATCGGCAGGTGGACTCCCGACCACTGCGCCACCAGGGAAGCCCAGTTTTCCTCTTCTTGTGTGTCACATTTAAATGAACTAAAAAACAGACAGACACCCAAGAAACTCCAAAACCAAGTGGAGAGCTTTCAGATGATAACTACTGTGATATAAAAAAGGCAGAATAATTTCAGGACATTTCAGAAAGAACTCAGAATCCTTTTTTCAGAGAAGAGAATACTCTATGATAACCATACTAATTGCTTTTAGTTTTCTGAAGGATTATCAGCTGAAAGAGGAAATGCATGAGATTACATGTAGTATATTGATATCATTATGGTGCATGGCAAATTTTAGGAATTTTTGTTCTGTGTTGGTTCATGATTTTTCTTTCTGCTCGTTCTGTGTGACCTCAAGGAACAGAATTAAAATTGATGAGAGATATAGGGAGACAGATTTGGGCACAACATGAAGAGGGACTCTGCAATAGTTAGAGAAAGGCTGCTTCAGGAATGATGATTTTTTTGTATAGGAGTTGAATACCCCATTTACAGGGGACTAAAGTATGACTTTAGAATAGACAACATGGTATGTGCTCTCAAACCAGAGTCTACTGTATTCCTTAAGTCTTTGTCCCAAGGGATACTCTATTTTCTATATGCCCAGAATCTCTGAAAGGATTCAGTCATTCCGTCTTCCCTAGTGGAGAGCAATACAACCCAGCAGATTTGTCCCATAGTGTAAGTGAGCCATGGAAGCATTAAAAAATCTGTTAGATGGAAGTCATGACGATGACCATATAATTATCATAACCAACATTTATTGGCATATAATCGACATATACTTGGGTTTTGCTACCCAATCTCATTTAATCTTCACAACAACTGTATGAAATGGGTTCTGTATTATCCCAAGTTATAGATGGAAAAAATTAAGGCCCAGAGAAGATGAGAATGATGGAAATTTCAGCCCAGGAAAGATGAAGAAAATGATAAGCTTTCTCAGTGTAGGGTGTAGACAGGGTATAATTATTTAGCAAAACCATTATCAACTTCTGGTAGTAACATCTGCCTGTTACGGTCATTTCAGTCTGTTTTTCTTTACCTTAATCTTTCAGAGATGAGGAAGTAAGTCTGCCACCTAGTGGTCATCTCTGCTGTTCCCTCTGACAAGTTTCCATTATGAAAAGAAAATGCTTCTTAAATTTTATAGTCAACTTAGACTCACAGTAAAGTTTGGATCAGTATCCATATAAAGAAGTATAAGAAACCCCACAATTTTGGAGCTATTTTAGTTTGTTCCATCAATATAAAAATTCCTTATCCAATTAAAATTTTATTGCCTCATATTTTATGGATATGTTAGCAAAGGCTATTGCCTTTCTTAAGAACCATACCTCCCTCCATAGTCATTTCTTAAACACTTTAATATCATATACAAATAGTGCTTTCAACTTTTAAAAAAGTTTTAAGTTGATCAATGAGCAGTTTTTACGTTGACTAATGTATGAAAACGTTTTAGCAAATTATTTTTGTCTCTACAACATGATTGAATTATCTGCATTATAGATCTAATTATGCTGCAGACTGAGTATATTAAACTCAATTTCTAACACTGTTACTCATCCAAAATGGTTAACAGCTATTACTCTCATTTCATTTTCATCATATGCCTGTTTTTTGTTGCTTTTATTTATTTATTTATATAAATAAAATTTATTATTTATTTTTATTTATATAAATAAAATGTATTTATTCATTTTTGGCTGTGTTGGGTCTTCGCTGCTGCACATGGGCTTTCTCTCGTGGTGAGCAGGGGGCCACTCTTCCTTGCGGTGCATGGGCTTCTCATTGCGGTGGTTTCTCTTGTTGCAGAGCACGGGCTCTAGGAGCAGGGGCTCTAGGAGCACGGGCTTCAGTGGTTGTGGCATGTGGGCTGAGTAGTTGCGGCTTGTGGGCTCTAGGGCGCAGGCTCAGTAGTTGTGGCACACGGACTTAGTTGCTCGGTGGTATGTGGGATCTTTCTGGCCGGGGGCTCGAACCCGTGTCCCCTGCATTGGCAGGCGGATTCCTAACCACTGCGCCACCAGGGAAGCCCAATATGCCTGTTTTTGGAGTGTTCACTTTCAATAATGCTTACAATGCTGATGATAACGATCACTTTTATCAATCACTTTATTATGTACCAGATACTAATTCTAATTGCCTTACATGTATCAACTTATTTAATGCTCACAACAGTCCTATGAGAGAAGTATTATTACCTCTTCTATCCCTCCACTCCATTTCCCCTTTTAAAGATGAGGGAAACACAGAGAGGTTAAGACACTTTTTGTGTTCCTTATTCTATTTGGCTGCAGAGTCTTTCTTCTTAACTTTCTTCCTAATCACCATGCTATACTGCCTCCCAGAAGCTAAATATCACCACTTTATAAAGAGTTCTGAACCTTCTGCAGATGTAAAAGAATCAGCAAATAAGAAAGTCCTATTCCAGGATATTTGCTGGGAAGCTAAATAGGTTTACTCATTAATTAAGGGGTTTTCCCTTGAACACCATTCTCTTGAGGTGTGGTAAATCATTCTAATTATTACCCAATAAAATTACACCTACTATGAGTGGATCTTTGGAGTTGCTTGAGAATAATCAAAGCAATGAATGATCAACCTGTGAACATTAAGAATCTATACTACTGTATTAAGATTCTTCTGTCTTTTTTTTTCCTGTTTCTTACAGTCAACAAGAAGAAAGAGCAAGAGCAAAGGCTAAAAGAGAAACTGCAAAGGTAATTTTCTCACAAATTCTAATATATACCCTGACATTTTTTCTCTGCAATAACATTCTAGATATCTCATTAGCATAAGTGTTTTCCTGTTTTATATGGGACAGAGAAAGACAAATATCATATGATATCGCTTACATGTGGAATCTTAAAAAATGGTACAAATCAACCTATGAAACAGAAACAGATGAAATGAAACAGAAATAGTCACAGATGTAGAAAACAATCTTATGGTTACCAAAGGGGAAATGGGGGTGGATAAATTGGGGGACTGGAATTGACATATACATAGTACTATATATAAAACAGATAACTAATAAGAACCTACTATATAGCACAGGGAACTCTACTCAATACTCTGTAATGACCTATATGGCAACAGAATCTAAAAAAGAGTGGATATAGGTATATGTGTAACTGATTCACTTTGCTGTATAGCAGAAACTAACAAACATAGTAAATCAACTATACTCCAATAAAAATTAATTTAAAAAATGAATAAATATAACCTTTAACCTGGAAAAAAAAGTTTAAGTACAAGTTTCCTGAGTATCAATTTTATTTCATGATAATTCAAAATTTAAGGTTTAGTTCATAAAAAGTAGAGTTTAACTTATTTGGCTTTTCTTAAGATTTCTGTTGTCAGGCACAGGTTATTACTATCAATTTTTACAATTTGCTAATTTCAGGTTACATTATTCCTACCTCTTAGCTATTTTAAAGAGAGAGTACAACAACCCTATCATTCACATTAGTTGAATTTACAAAACAAAGTGCACATATATTATCATATTTGATCTTTGTCAGCACCCAGCTAAGGAGGAATACTAGTATTTTCACTTTCAATTATGACTATTAATTAAATCCTTTGACTTTCTAATTATTTTTAATCTACTTCACATTTCTATAATTTTACAATTTTATAAGTAGCAGAGCAAAGTCTGTCTTTACATAGATGTAGGATTACTCTCACATAGCCTTACACAAGGTTTACCTTTATTTATTCTATTTCCTAACAACAGCTGCAAAAGTATAAGCCTAATAATCTGGGGGGAAAAGTTGACACAGATTAAAAGGTTGCCTTTAAACTGATTCATTTTCCTAGTAACTTTCTGTTACCTGGAACCATCTTTTTATTAGTAATTCAGAATTGAAAATTTGTTTTATCCATAATGTTTGATCAGTTTCTAAATCCTGTTAGATTTTTCAAATGGTCTTAACACATTCCTCCTCCTCTCCACTCCCATTGTTACTCTTCTGTTTCAAATATGCATTCCCCATCCCTGGACTTTATCAAGTAACTCCCAGAAAGGTGTCAGTTTCTCCAGGCATCATACTTTCATATTTGTTCTCTCCCCCATATCTTTGTTTCAGATATGTCTTTCTTTTTTTAAAAAATAGATCCTTATTGGAGTATAATTGCTTCACAATACTGTGTTAGTTTCTGTTGTACAACAAAGTGAATCAGCCATATGCATACATATGTCCCCATATTCCCTCCCTCTTGAACCTCCCTCCCATCCTCCCTATCCCACCCCTATAGGTTATCACAAAGCACCGAGCTCATCTCCCTGTGCTATGCGGCTGCTTCACACTAGCTAACTATTTTACATTTGGTACTGTATATATTGTCAATGCTACTTTCACTTCGCCCCAGCTTCCGCCTTCCACCCTGTGTCCTCAAGTTCATTCTCTATGTCTACATCTTTACTCCTGCCCTGCAACGAAGTTCATCAGTACCATTTATTTTTTTTTTTTAGATTCCATATATATGCGTTAGCATCAGTATTTGTTTTTCTCTTTCTGACTTACTTCACTCTGTATGACAGACTCTAGGTCCATCCACCTCACTACAAATAACTCAATTTCATTTATTTTTATGGCTGAGTAACATTCCATTGTATATATGTGCCACATCTTCTTTATCCATTCATCTGTCGATGGACACTTAAGTTGCTCCCATGTCCTGGTTATTGTAAATAGTGCTGCAATGAACATTGTGGTAAATGTCTCTTTTTGAATTGTGGTTTTCTCAGGGTATATGCCCAATAGTGGGATTGCTGGGTCGTATGACAGTTCTATTTTTAGTTTTTTAAGGAAACTCCATACTGTTCTCCATAGTGGTTGTATTAATTTACATACCCACCAGCAGTGCACAAGTATTCCCTTTTCACCACACCCTTTCCAGCATTTATTGTTTCTAGATTTTTTGATAATGGCCATTCTGACTGGCCTGAGGTGATAGATACCTCATTGTAGTTTTGACTTGCATTTCTCTAATAATTACTGATGTTGAGCATCTTTTCAGGTGCCTCTTGGCCATCTGCATATCTTCCTTGGTGAAATGTCTATGTCTTCCACCCATTTTTTAACTGGATTGTTTGTTTTTTTGATATTGAGCTCCATAAGCTCTTTGTATATTTTGGAAATTAACCCTTTGTCTGTTGTTTCATTTGCAAATACTTTCTCCCATTCTGAGGGTTGTCTTTTTGTCTTGTTTATGGTTTCCTTTGCTGTGCAAATGCTTTTAAGTTTAATTAAATCCCATTTGTTTATTTTTGTTTTTATTTCCAGTACTCTAGGAGGTTGGTCAAAAAAGATCTTGCTATGGTTTATGTTATAGAGTGTTTTTTCTATGTTTTCCTCTAACAGTTTTATAGTGTCTGGTCTTACATTTAAGTCGTTAATCCATTTGGAGTTTATTTTTGTGTAGTGTTAGGTAGTGTTCTAATTTCATTCTTTTACATGGAGCTGTCAGGTTTTCCCAGCACCACTTATTGAAGAGGCTGTCTTTCCTCCATTGTACGTTCTTGCCTCCTTTGTTGTAAATTAGGTGCCCATATGTGTGTGGGTTTATCTCTGGGCATTTTATCCTGTACCACTGATCTATATTTCTGTTTTTGTGCCAGTACCATACTGTCTTGATTACTGTAGCTTTGTGGTATAGTTTGAAGTCAGGGAACCCGATTCCTCCAACTCTGCTTTTCTTAAGATTGCTTTGGCTATTTGGGTTCTTTTGTGTTTCCAAAGAAATTGTAAAATTTTTTTGTTCTAATTCTGTGAAGAATGCCACTGGCAGTTTGATAGGGATTGCACTGAATCTGTAGATTGCTTTGGGTAGTATAGTCATTTTCACAATATTGATTCTTCCAATCCAAGAACATGGTATATTTCTCCAACTGTTTTTGTCATCTTTGATATTTTTCATTAGTGTTTTATAGTTTTCTGAGTACAAGTCTTTTGCCTCCTTAGGTTTATTACTAGATAAGTTTATTCCTTTTGTTGCAATGGTAAATGGGAGTGTTTCCTTAATTTCTCTTTCTGATTTTTCATTGTTGGTGTATAGAAATGCAAGATATTTCTGTGCAATAATTTTGTATCCTGCAACCTTACCAAGTTCATTGCTTAGTTCTAATAGTTTTCTGGTGGTGTTTTTAGGATTCTCTATGTATAGTATCATGTCATCTGCAAACAGTGACAGTTTTATTTGTATTCCTTGTATCAGTTTTATTTGTATTCCTTTTAGTTCTTTTTTTCCCTTTGATTGCCATGGCTAGGACTTCCAAAACTATGTTGAATAAGAGTGGCGAGAGTGGACATCCTTGTCTTGTTGCTGATCTTAGTGGAAATGTTTTCAGTTTTTCACCATTGAGTATGATGCTTGCTGTGGCTTTGTCATATATGGCCTTTATCCTGTTGAGATAGGTTCCCTATATGCCCATTTTCTGGAGAGTTTTTTTATCATAAATGGGTGTTGAATTTTATCAAAAGCTTTTCCTGCACCTATTGAGATGATCATATGGTTTTTATTCCTTAATTTGTTAATGTGCTGTACCACACTGATTGGTTTGCGTATACTGAAGAATCCTTGCATCCCTGGGATAAATCCCACTGGATCATGGTGTATGATACTTTTAATGTGCTGCTGGATTCTGTTTGCTAGTATTTTGTTGAAGACTTTTGAATCTATGTTCTTCAGTGATATTGGTCTATAGTTTTCTTTTTTTGTGATATCTTTTTCTGGTTTTGGTATCAGGGTGATGGTGGCTTCGTAGAATGAATTTGGGAGTGTTTCTCCCCCTGCAATTTTTTGGAAGAGTTTGAGAAGGATGGGTGTTAGCTCTTCTCTAAATGTTTGATAGAATACACCTGTGAAGCCATCTGGTCCTGGACTTTTGTTTGTTGGAAGATTTTTAATTATGGTTTCAATTTCATTACTGTTTATATTGATAGGTCTGTTAATATTTTCTAATTCTTCCTGGTTCAGTCTTGGAAAATTGTACCTTTCCAAGAATTTGTCCATTTCTTTGTGGTTGTCCATTTTATTGGCTTATAGTTGTTTGTAGTAGTCTCTTATAATCCTTTGTATTTCGGCAGTGTCATTTGTGATTTCTCCTTTTTCATTTCTAATTTTACTGATTTGCATCGTCTCCCTTTTTTTCTCGATGAGTCTAGCTAAGGGTTTATCAATTTTGTTATCTTCTGAAAGAACCAGCTTTTAGTTTTATTGATCTTTCCTATTGTTTTCTTCATTTCTATTTCATTTATTTCTGCTCTGATCTTTATGATTTCTTTTCTTCTACTGACTTTGGGTTTTCTTTGTTCTTCTTTCTCTGGTTTTTTTTTTTTTTGCGGTACGCAGACCTCTCACTGTTGTGGCCTCTCCCGTTGCGGAGCACAGGCTCTGGACGCGCAGGCTCAGCGGCCATGGCTCACGGGCCCAGCCACTCTGCGGCATGTGGGATCTTCCCGGACTGGGGCACGAACCCGTGTCCCCTGCATCAGCAGGCAGACCCTCAACCACTGCGCCACCAGGGAAGCCCTCTCTAGTTGTTTTAAGTGTAGGTTTAGATTGTTTACTTAAGATTTTTCTTGTTTCTTGAGGTGAGATTGAATGCTATAAACTTCCCTCTTAGAACTGCTTTTCCTGCATCCCATAGGTTTTGCGTTGTCGTGTTTTCCTTGTCATTTGTTTCTACGTATTTTTTAATTTCTTCTTTGATTTCTTCAGTGATCTCTTGGTTATATAGTAGCACACTGTTTAGCCTCCATGTATTTGTGGTTTTTACAGTTTTTTTTCCTTTAATTGATTTCCAATCTCATAGCGTTATAGTCAGAAAAGATGCTTGATACGATTTCAGTTTTCTTAAATTTTCTGAGGCTTGATTTGTGACCTAAGATGTGATCTATCCTGGAGAATGTTGTGTGTGCACTTGAAAAGAAAGTGTACTCTGCCACTTTCAGGTGGAATGTTCTATAAATATCAATAAATCTATCTAGTCTATTGTGTCATTTAAAGTTTGTGCTTCCTTATTTATTTTCTGTTTGGATGATCTGTCCTTTGGATGATCTGTCCATTGGTGTAAATGGGGTGTTAAAGTCCTCTACTATTATTGTGTCACTGTCGATTTCTCTTTTCATGGTTGTTAGCATTTGCCTTATGTATTGAGGTGCTCCTATATTGCGTGCATAGACATTTGTAACTGTTATATCTTCTTCTTGGATTGATCCTTTGATGTTATGTAGTGTCCCTCCTTATCTCTTGGAACAGTCTTCATTTTAAAGTCTATTTTATCTGGTACAAGTATTGCTACTCCAGCTTTCTTTTGATTTCCATTTGCATGGAATATCTTTTTCCATCCCTTCACTTTCAGTCTGTATGTGTCCCTAGGTCTGAAGTGGTGTCTTGTAGACAGCATATATATGGGTCTTGTTTTTGTATCCATTCAGCTAGTCTGTGTCTTTTGGTTGGGGCATTTAAGCCATTTACATTCAAGGTTATTATCAATATGTATGTTCCTATTACCACATTCTTAATTGTTTTGGGTTTGTTTTTGTGGGTCTTTTTCTTCTCTTGTGTTTCCCACCTAGAGAAGTTTCTGTAGCATTTGCTGTAAAGCTGGTTTGGTGGTGCTGAATTCTCTTAGCTTTTGCTTGGCTGAAAAGCTTTTGATTTCTCCATCAAATCTGAATGAGATCCTTGCTGGGTAGAGTAATCTTGGTTGTAGGTTTTTCTTTTTCATCACTTTAAGTATACCCAGCCACTCCCTTCTGGCCTGCAGAGTTTATGCTGCAAAATCAGCTGATAACCTTCTGGGGATTCCTTTGTATGTTATATTTTGTTTTTCCCTTGCTGTTTTGAATGTTTTTTCTTTGAATTTCGTTTTTGTTAGTTTGATTAATATGTGCCTTGGTGTGTTTTTCCTAGGGTTTATTCTGTATGTGTATTCTCAGTTTTTCCAGGAAGATTCCCCTTCCAGGCCTGTTGAATCTCCTCACCTTGATCTTTCCTAGCTTTTATAGACTGTGATGTGCAACACATCATAAACATATATATTTTATATTGCTCTCCACCAATTTTATCAGCCTTCTTCTGCACCAATATTTAAGCACCCTCAAAAGAATGCTGATGGTAAATATTTACAGATCCACTATAGTGACATCACAATTCTGAGTCTATGATAGAAGCCTTTTATTTTTTTATTTTTTTTAATTAATTAATTTATTTATTTTGGGCTGTACTGAGTCTTCATTGCTGCACATGGGCTTTCTCTAGTTGCAGCGAGTGGGGGGGCTACTCTTCGTTGTGGTGCGCAGGCTTCTCATTGCAGTGGCTTCTCTTGTTGCAGAGCACGAGCTCTAGGTGTGCAGGCTTCAGTAGTTGTGGCACGTGGGCTCAGTAGTTGTGGCATACGAGCTTAGTTGCTCCGTGGTATGTGGCATCTTCCCAGTCCAGGGCTCGAACCTGTGTCCCCTGCATTGGCAGGTGGATTCTTAACCACTGCACCACCAGGAAAGCCCCGATAGAAGACTTTTAAATGCTTACTGACTTACTGCTACATGTAATCACTTTTCTTTTTACTTCTTACTCTGCATTACTTATTCTTCATAATAGACAAAAGTGTAGGGAGGATAGGAAACCACTCTGAGAACATATTTTCTTCATTTTCCAGGAACTCTGCAATGAATGTCTCTGCTCTTTCTAGCTTCTAGAGGCCGTTCATGTTCCTTGGCTCCTGGACTGTTTCCATCATCTTCAAGGCCAACAACATTCCATCTCTAATTGTTCTTCTGTCATCATATCTCCCTCTCACTCTCTCCCGTCTCACTCTTCCAGTTTTAAGGACTGACCCTTTTGATTTCATTGGGCATACTAGGATAATCCAGGATAATATCCCTATCTCTAGGTCCTTAACTTAAACACATCTGCAAAGTCCCCCCTGCCCTGCAATATATTCACAGGTCCTGGATATCAGGACTTGGACAAATTTGGGGGCAGGAGCTATTATTCGGCCAACCACAAATTGCTTTACAGAAGTGACAATAAATCATTCTTTTTTGTATCTCTCACAGTGCCTAGCGCAGAATAATATTCGAGTAAATTGAAGGTTTTATAATTAGATAAGTGACAGCAATCTCATATTCCAAACAATGTGTGACCTAGGCCTCTGAACAGCGTCTTGGCTAATACTAACCTTCTGCATCGTCTTCTTGATGCATCCATTATGTTTGGGACATTATATCATAGTTTTCAAAGGGGTAATGTGGAGGAAGCTTTCAATATTTAGTTACCTGATTCTATTTTGTGTGTGTGTGTGTGTGTGTGTGTGTGTGTGGTACGCGGGCCTCTCACTGCTGTGGCCTCCCCCGTTGCTGAGCACAGGCTCCGGACGCGCAGGCTCAGCGGCCATGGCTCACGGGCCCAGCCGCTCCATGGCATGTGGGATCTTCCCAGACCGGGGCACGAACCCGTGTCCCCTGCATCAGCAGGTGGACTCCCAACCACTGCACCACCAGGGAAGCCCTAGTTACCTGATTCTTAAACCCTCCCTCACTTGGCAGGAGCTGTGCAGTGAATACCGTAACCTTGTGAAGAACAGACGTCTTCCCTGCACCAGAGAGAATGACCCCATCAAGGGCCCAGATGGGAAAATCCATGGCAACACCTGCTTCATGTGTGCGGCCTTCTTGTGAGTAGAGCTGCAGTCACTGCTCCTCCTGAGTGTCAGAGAAGACAGGCCTGTGGTGGGCAAGAGAGATGATATTGAAGGTTTTTTCTAGGAGGCAGATGGCTATCTTTGCACTGAGTTTGGGGATTTACTCTTACAAAGCCATATACTTGGTGCATTTCTTTGTAGTGTTCTCAGTGTTCTGAAAGGTACTTGAATTGCCATTAAGGGAGGACCATGTGCTAAGAGGAAGCTCCTCCAGAGTTAATGGCATATAAGGATTGGAATTTTTGTTCTCTGCATACATACTGTCATGAATAATCCAAAGATGTAATCACTGGGTGCTAGCAAATTAAAAATTTGCTAATATTTAGTCATTTTTTAAGTATCCTAGTTGCTTTCTGAGGAGAAGGCCTATATCTTTGTTTTCCAAAATAAACAGAGTAGTGAAAATTTATTTACTGGCTGGCCATGGCATATGTGTCTTACTCTTTAAGCAACACTAAAAACAAGAAGAACAATATGGAGAGGTGTACATTTACCTTTCTACTCCCAAGCTAAGTTGGTATAGGTGTAGAAGTAATGGAATATATCTATCAAGAGAGATTCCCCTTTAGGATAATATGTATTGGGTACTAGGAATGATTGTTCCCCCTGCCTTTCTCTTACAGCCAGCAAGAAGCAAAAGAAAAAGAAGCTGAATCCAGAAGACCTAAGAGAGAAGCTGAAAAGGTAGGTATCTTGGAAGCTTCATACCACAACGCGGTTTTGCAGTTTCTCTTTAAAAATAACTCATGGAATCACTGAAGGCCTATGTGAGAGAACTCAAGGTTTAGTTAGTCCAGGGGTTGATAAAATTTTCTTAAAGGGCCAAACAGTAGATATTTTAGGTTGTGACCATTCAGTCTCTGTCACAACTACTCAACTCTGCTATTGTAGCTCTAAAACAGCCATGGATGATATGCAGATAAATGGGCATGGCTGTGTTCCAATGAAACTTTACTTACACAAAAAAGGTGGTAGGCCAGATTTTGCTCACGGGCTTAGTTTGCAAACCTCTGATTTACTCCATGCCCTATTTTTAAATGAAGATTTAAAATCCAGAAGGAGGAAGAACTTGCTTACAAAGGTAGTGAGACTACTGGTATCAGAATCTTCATACTTTTTCAAAGTTCTCACAGTTGCAAAACAGAAACAATTCAAACTTAGACTTCCTGACACCAAATCTAGCATTATTCCTAACACACTATGTAGCTTTGGATGAGCACGTTTGGTAAAACCAGGTGTGTTCCTTGCTTTAACTTTAATTATCTCTGGTGTCAGCAGTTGGCAGAAAAATAGAAGAGCAACTTTCCCCAGTAATATTTTCTTGGTTTCGAAATGACTGACTCCAGGTAGATTTTTCCAGGTTTGTGGATATTTCCTTGCCCCCATCAAAAACTATTGATATTAAAAATAATCTCTAATGAAGTTATCACTTGGAATTCTGTATGATTGGTTTGTTTATTTTTCCTACAGTTGTGAGCCTGAATTTAAAAATAATATGAGTAGCTCATATGCTTCCCTTTTCAACATCAATAAGAAAATATTCTTCAGTATCAGACGATTTCTGATTTCACATTAGCTACTACCCATAAACTATCCTCTCATATCATATTTCTTTTGCTAAATATGACCAGTTAGGGAATCAGGCAGTGAACCTTGAAGGAAAGCTAGGAAAAAACTCACTCTTGTCCTCACTGAGTTTTGACTTGAACTAAAAGATACAGAAAAAAACACAAAGTCAATCTTACTTGCCACCAGTAATTAATTATGATCTTAAGTGATTTGCTTATTCTATCTCAATTCCTCATAACTCTGAAGCTAAAATTTACTGAGTAATTCCTAGATGTCAGTCATTGTAGATATAGTAGATATACATTATTTCACATTGTTCTCATAACAATTCACATATACTGAATACTTAATAGATATTGGCCATTATTATTTTAACTGTGTGGAATAGATACTATCATTATTTCCATTGTATAGAAGAGGTAACTGAGGCACAGAGAGGCAAGACCCCCCCTCATCCAAGGTCTCTTGGTGACAGAATGGAATTCTAACTAATGATATTACATAGCTGTCAACATATTGGGCTTGTCTGGACATACCTGGAATATTATGTTAAATTCTTTAGGAAAGGGGAAGAATTAAGAATGCAAAATGGTGCAAATGACGGAAACAGATTGGAACAGAAAGACTGAAGTATCTGGGGATGCTTTGCTCTTGGAAAAGCACATAGGGAGCTATGGAGAAGGACAAGAAAGCTTTCTCCACATACATGAAGGACTTTCTGTGTGCAGGAAGAAAAATATCCTCAGTTTTTCTGAGGGAAGTAAAATGCGTTGACTTTGCTTACTGGTTTGAAAGAACGTATTCATCCCATGCAGTGACATCTTAGAAAAATAAAACTCTAAGAGTAAGGATCCTATAGGATTGATTAGATCTAGATATTTTCCAAGATCCTCCCAAAGTAGCACTACGGCTAATCTGTGGGAATGATCTAAGAAATTTTGGAATGAACTATCTGGAGGGTAACGAACTCATCACTGCAGGTGTTCCAGTGCAAATTAGACCACTTTTTGGCAGGCATGACGTAAAGGGGATTGAGACGTAGTACAGACGGTTGCACCTACCTAAGGTTTAGGTAGAACTTCAAAGTTCTACCTAAACCTTAGTTCTTTAAAATTCTATGCCATGTGCAGTGTTTTTATTGCATTATAATATAATAGAGAGGGACAATAAAATCTTGACTAAGGACTGTGACCAGTCTGCAGAGAACCCAGTTTATTAAGAGGTTCTTGCTTGTGTGTGACTGCAGGTTCAGTCTGGATTTGGAGGCTATATCTCAAGGAAAAAGAAACAGAAACCTCTTTGTAAGTCCTGTGTGCTTACTAGGAATTGAACAAAACAATTGCCAGAAAGAAACATTTATAGGTCATTTTCTTTTTTTTTTCCAGGAAGCACTTAGTAGGGACCCAACAAAGTAATTTCCAAGAAAATACCCAAGCTCTTGCCTTTTCTCCTCCTTTTAGGATACATGCAGTGAATTTCGGAGCCTTCTGAAAAATGGAAGTCTTTTCTGCACTCGGGAAAATGATCCTGTGCGTGGCCCAGATGGCAAGACCCATGGCAACAAGTGCGCCATGTGCAAAGCACTCCTGTGAGTGCACAGAGGAAGCCCATGCTGTGGGTGGCAGAGCCGGGAGGCAAAGAGCTGGGAAGATAATATAGATTGTGTTTGTCCTTTCCTTACATGTAAAAATGACAAATGATGATCTCTAAAGCATTTTGGGGTGAATCTCTCTTTACAGAGGCTAAGATTCACAATTCTAGAAATAGGCAATAGATGACTAAGTTATTACACTACATTCTCGATTAGTTCTGGGGTAGCACCTTACAATGATGACACCATCTTTCTTGATAAAATCTTAAGCCCTTTGCTGTCAGATGGATCCCTTTTCTGGATTATTTTGTAATCCCCATCGGGAAGAACATACACAGATTTTACTATCAATCTAACGCCTCTACCTGCATTTTTGAAAAAAAAATCACACTTCTAGGAAACTAAAAATAGCTTTACACAAAGTTTGGAAGTACACCTAAAATATTTGTCATTAACAGTCATTTGCTGAACATGTACAATGTATATATAACGGTTGGTTATACAAAGTTGAATGAAACAGTATTACCAAAAATCATGTAGTTCAGTAAGGTTTAGACATGGGCATAAATTAATATAACACAAAGGAGGAATTGCTAAATGAAAAATGATATATACAATGTGTTATGGTAGTTTAGGAAAGGGAGCATTAATAGAAAGTTTTATGGAAGAATAGAACTAGATCTAGTAATTTGGACCATATGTGAACAGTATGGGAAGGAATGAGAGGAAGAAGGAACAGCGTAGGTAAAATCTAAAATTAAAGAAACTGTACTGTATGTACATAAAGAGAGCAAATCATTTTAGTTTAGTTAGAGCTTACCCACTTCACCAACTGTGAATGCCAGATCATGGATTTTGAAGTCAATTCTATATACAGTGGCAAGCTGCTAAAATTTTTCAGCTAGGAGAGTAAGTGGCGTAAATATGGTTCCTTTCAGAAGATTCATATGTCAGCAGTAAAAAGGAGAAAAGAGGAAGGGACTAAAATTCAGAATACCGCTGGTGGTAGTCGGGGATTACAATAATCCAGTGAGAGGTAACTAGAGCAAGGGAGCTAGAATAGAAGGTGAGTGGGTTAACATAGGAGACACTGTGAAAGTGAAACCAATGTCCTGTGGCAACAGCTATGCGAGCTGAAGGAGAGGGAGCGGTTAGGGATGGCTCCAATGTTTTGTTCTTTGTGAAAGGGAATCCAGGAGGAAGAACACATTTGGCAGAGAAGATAATTATCTTGGGACCTTTTGAACATGAGGCATCTGAGAGAAATCCAGCTGGAGGTTCACATGAGCATTTACAAAATGCTAATTAATTGCTCACCTAGTCTTGCTTGAGGTTACGTAAATGCTGGTTTTCTTCTACTGCAATGAGAGCTCTTCCAGGCAAAAGGATGCGACATGATTCATCTTTCTATTGATATTTTCAAAGAAGAGGGCCTGCAATGTAATAGGTGTTCAATAATTGCTGGTGAATTCCATACAAATCTAATCTGGTCATATGATGAGAAACTCACAGAAGTGCATTCCACTCTCTGTAATCTATTATTCCCTACCTCCCACTTTCCAATTTCCAGCCAGAAAGAAGATGAAGAAAGAAAGAGAAAAGAAAAGGAAGATCAGAGAAAAGCTGCAAGGCATGGTTGCAAACGTGGCAGAAGAGGGAAAGCTCAGGTGAGAGCAGCCTCTAATTTCCATAACCAGAGTGGGCTCAACTCAATGGCACTGGGACCCTGGCAGACCCTATGGTCAAAGGCTATGAATGTATGTAGTGCTGAGTTGGAAAGCATCCTTGGAAGGACAGGGGATTTTCCCCTTAAGACTGTAGAGTAATATCTGAGCAATTTTTAGTTTCTCTAGGGCTCACTTTGACTTCTTTAAACTTGGAAATAATTAACATGAATACCAGACCCCAGTCTCTTGACTCATCTTTATATCGTCTAGCTTTCAGGCCAATAAGTGATCCTAGGAGAGTAAGTGGTATAAATGTGGAGATGTTCCACATCAGCATCACATGCTCTTCATTTCCTTTCATTATTCTCTCTTTCCCTCTCTTTCCCTGAATGGAGCCACTTTTTGGAGGTATATTTTCTATTGTTCCTAGGCAGGATAATATGGTGAAAGAGCACAGGTTTTCGAGTCAGGTAGTTTGAGGTATCATCCTACCCATGCCACTTGGACTTGCAAAGCACTGAATAAATCACTTCATCTCACTCAACTCTAGTTTCTCTTACTTAGCACTCCTCTTATGGGGATACAATAAAATAATTTAGGCAAGTGTTTAGCACATTTCCTGAGACTTTTTTTTTAAGTGTCCGCATGACAGTGTTGCATGTAAGCTCACTCCTCAGACATGTGAACACAACTGCCTGAGATCACAGCCACCTTATTTCTATTCTTATGACCTGGGGATATCAAGACTATCTCTTTGCCTCCAGATCTGACTCAGGCCCAATAACTGCCTTCGATAAATTTTGGCTTTTCTGTTTTTCCATATTTTCTCCTGTAGGAAGCTGAGTTCTCACTCTCAAATGATAGACTTGTTAAGACCCTTTTTCTATCTTCATAATTTGCTCAAGCCTGTCTTCCTTGGCATTTTGCATGATTCTGTGCTTTCTCCCAGCACTTCTTTCTCCCTTCTATCTAAATTAGAGGTCAGCAATTTTTTTTTTTTTCTGTAAAAGGCCAGATAGCAAATATTTTAGGCATTACGGGTCCCACGTTCTCTGTTGCAACTCTTCAACTCTGTTGAATAGCAACTGTTGTGGGAAAGCAGCCATAAATAATATTTAAATGAATGAGTGAGGGTGCGTTTCAAGTTCTATATATAAAACTTCATATGTAAGAACAGACAGCAGGACAGATTAGTCCTGTAGGCTATAGTTTGCTTACCCTTGATTTGTGCGATTAAATCCCAACCAGCTTTATAATTTCCCTTTGTAGAACCTTAAAAGCAACATTACCCATGACAACAGATGTCTTAGAATATGGATGATTCCAGCCCCTCCTCTTCTGTAGACAGCAATCCTAGATGTTACATATGCCTTATAAGAGGACATAGACAAGAACTTCTTACTCAAATCATTTAACAGACTTAATAACAATACAACAGACCAAGTCATCCAAGAGGCCTGCTCTCTTCTTCCCTTTCAGGACCAATGTGCTGAGTACAGGGAACAAATGAGAAATGGAGCACTCAGCTGTACTCGGGAGATTGATCCTGTATGCAATGAAAATGGCAAATCATACAACAATAAGTGTGCCATGTGTAAAGAGAAACTGTAAGTAATTTTCTCAACCTGCATGTTTAAAAGATAGCCACATATTCCTCCTGAATTAATGGTTATTTCTCATTTGCCTATAGCTCCTTTCGTGAACACTACCCTTTTTGTTAATTCTCAAATATTATCTCTTTCTCTTGCATCCCCTAAGGAACAATGAGCCCTAGTAAGGGCAGCTAATCAGTGGCTGATTCCTACTCTATTTTCTATCATAATTCTGTGAACTGTGTCATCATGGTAGATAACTGCTCTTTAGAACACATCATGCCTAAATCCTAAGGAGGGTTTGCAACGGTCATTTGGAATAGTTAACCAACATAGTTTAAGAGGGTTGCTTCATGTCATATGTATGGGACACATTTATTGCACAATCCAGGGTTTGTTCCTTCTATTTATTTTCTTTTGGTGAATGGTACTGATTGGAGTGCTTAATGATCCAACTCAGCCACTCTTGATTTGTGTTATTGCAGCAAGTAACATAACCACTATTGGTCCCATCTGTATTCTGAGGTAGTTTTCTAGGTAACCTTGATGGGTACTTAATAGTTCTCAAATTTGATGCATATATCACAGTGCTATTAATCATGGTATTTAATTGATATGCATTTAATGAGCACTTAATTCTTCTCCACACCCATTTTTTTCCTCCTTGAAAACAAAATCACAATCTTGTGATTGTGGTACTACAGGCCACGTGATAAAATCTAGTTATTCCAAATGCTGCATTTTACAGATGAGAAAAACTGAATTTTTTTTTTTAAGTACAAGGTCTCATGGGGGAGTGACTTCAGAGCTGAAACTAGAACCCAGTTCTTCTGAATACCAGCCTAGTATTTATTCCATGTCATAAAATTCTTTAACAGAAGCAGCGTGGCAGAATGGGGCAGTGCTAGGGTATTAGCATCATATGGTTATTTCAGCTCCGCGTTCTTGGACAGGTTATTTCACGTCCCTAGGCTTTAATCTGCTCATATTTATAGTGGGAGTGGGGCAGCCATAATCATAGTAGCCACATGATGTTTCTTTTGAAAGTTAAATGAGAAAAACTATGTAAAACTCTTATCACAGTGCCTAGCACAAAGGAGGTGCACAAAAAAATGTGAATGGTCACTATTAGCACTGTCATTAGTGTTCAGCAAATAACAGGTGTCACCATTAATAGCAATAAAAGAATGACTATTATGATCTCTTACGCTACCCTATGTTGCCCCTTTGCACACCTCATACTTTGTAGGTATGATGTACATAATTGACATAGCTCTTCACATATGACTATTTCTTTCTGCATCACATATTAATAGTGGGTAGTTTTGTGAAGGAACAAATGATGAATCTCAGATGCAAACAATTATTAAGATAAAACTTTGCTGATACAATCCATGTCATCTGTGTTATAAGATACTTAACTGGGGCTTCCCTGGTGGCGCAGTGGTTGAGAGTCCGCCTGCCGATGCAGGGGACACGGGTTTGTGCCCTGGTCCGGGAAGATCCCACATGCCGCGGAGCGGCTGGGCCCGTGAGCCATGGCTGCTGAGCCTGTGCGTCTGGAGCCTGTGCTCCGCAACGGGAGAGGCCACAACAGTGAGAGGCCCGCATACCACAAAAAAAACCCCAAAAAACAAAACAAAACAAAAAGATACTTACCTGGTAGTCCAGGTAACAAAATATTTAAAAACATAACAAAGTATTTAACAACATGAATCAAATAATTTTACAATCTTTGGAACCCATTCATCTGACAATAAATGGTTTTTGACTGCCTACTATATAATAGGCACTCTCCACGGACAGGTGCTCTTCAAGTGAACAAGACAAAATTCCTGCCATATGGAACTATAATATAGGAAAGACAGATTATAAACAAAGAAGTAAAAAACTACGTAACAAGACCAGGTGTTGATAAGATAAGGAAAGCAGAGTAAGGCAACAGGAAGGGATTGGAGGTGCTACTTTATGGTGTTTGGGGAAAGCCTGACAGTAAGGGAGACCTGAAAAAGGGAGTGAAATGAGCCAGCTGGCCATCTGAAGGAAGAAAGCTTCAGGCAGAGCAGGAGCCAATGCAAGTTTCTGTAGATATATATGAAATTCTCAAGCTCAGGAAAGAGAGAGGGAGGTCATTATGTCTCAAGATTACTGCGTGGAAAATTGCAGAAATTAATTTGGAACGATCATGTAAGGCTTTTTTGGGCCAAGAGAAGGACACTGGATTTTATTCTATGTGTGATCAGAAGCCACTGGAGATTTTTGAGCAGAGCTGTGATTGTAGATTGAATTCCACCAGACTGAATCAGGTGGTCTCTTTTTCCTAGTATTTGATTAAGATTTCATGACTTTATATTTGTTTGAATCTTCAGGATACATTTACCACCACTTCCCTATTTCTTATATACGAAAAGGGAGCTCCGCAAAATACACACACACACACACACACACACACACACATTCATGTTATATACATTCATAAACGTTTCTTTTAAGCATAAAGCCAAATGAAACTTTTTTTTTACATCTTTATTGGAGTATAATTGCTTTACAATGGTGTGTTAGTTTCTGCTTTATAACAAAGTGAATCAGTTATACATATGTTCCCATATCTCTTCCCTCTTGTGTCTCCCTCCCTCCCACCCTCCCTATCCCACCCCTCTAGGTGGTCACAGACCACTGAGCTGATCTCCCTGTGCTATGAGGCTGCTTCCCACTAGCTATCTATTTTACGTTTGACACACAGACCTACTGGAGAATGGACTTGAGGATACGGGGAGGGGGAAGGGTAAGCTGGGACAAAGTGAGAGAGTGGCATGGACATATATACACTACCAAATGAAACTTGGAAGGAGAAATACGTGTACTAGAGTTCTGCAGTATTTGGATCTTGGGTCAACTGCATCAGAATCACCTGGCTTGCTTGTTAAACATCAGGTTACTGAATCCCAATGTAGATCTTGTCAGTAAAATTGTTGGGATTGACAGTGAATCTGATTTTAAAAATCTCATAGCTGATTCTTAATGTACATGAAAACTTAGGAACCACTGGCATAAATATTTTATCAGAAAGGTGAAAGGTTAAAAAAAAAAAAAACCCAAAAAACCATGATCCTAAGGTACTTCCTATATCACTTGTCTTCTTTCTATCTTGGGCTCCAATGATATTATAATGAATTGAAATGGTACTATAAATAGATTGACCTACAAATTGAGAAATAAGAATGGTGAATTGGTAAAGAATTAAAACCACAACTTATGATAAAAAGGTGAAAGAACTGAGGAAGGCGGACTTGGAGACCTGAAACTTGCCTTTAGATATCTAAAGGATTAATATCAGGAAGAGGTAATGGATTCAGCAGGCTTGTTCTGTGTTTTCCTGAGAATGTGAAGTAAGACTAAAGGATGAAAGCTATAGGGAGATGAACTTGGATACAAATAAAGGAGACTCTGAGATTAACTTGACTTGATCTGCCTAGAATATCTACCCTGTAATGAGGGAGCTTCTTAATAACCAAAGTCACTGTCCATCTGTGAGAGGTGCAGAGAGGTTCTCTGTGAAGGAGGTGGTTTAGTATACATAAACTCTAAGGCCCCTTCCAAATCTGAGTATGTGTCTGCAAGATGACTACTGACTCTTTTCTTTTCCAGGCAAAGAGAAGCAAAGGAAAAAAATAAGAATTCTGGCTACAGATCAAATGGGAATGAATCAGCATTAGGAAAGGTGAATCATTAACTAGGTTTTGACAAGAATGGCCTTTCTGTAAGTCATGACTTAACTATCAAAAATGTGGAAAGAGGTTGTCAATGTTGCCAGTCAAGATATTGCCCTCAGAACATCAGAAGTCATCATTAATGGGAATATCTATCCCTGATAACTTTTTCAGTGTAGAAATTTAACACCAAATGGAAATCTTTCGGTCTAACACTTTATAAAACACTTTTATAAATAGTAGTTTAAGTATCTCAATAGCCTGGTCAACTAAGTTTTTTTTCAACCTCATTTTATAGATGGGGAAAATGAGGTTCGGCTGCTGTAACAAATTACTACCAACAGTGGTAAAGCAACCCAAATTCATCATCATACATATCTGGAGTTCAGAAGTCCTAAATGGGTCTCACTGTGTTACAGCCGAGGTGTCAGTAGGGCTGCTTTCCTTTTTGGAGGTTCTGGGGAAGATCTATTTCTTTGCCTTTTTTTTTTTAATTTCTAGAAGTGCCTGCATTCCTTGGCTTGTGGCCATCTTTAAAATCAGCAGAGGCCAGCTGATTTTTTTTTTTAAGCTGCATCCTTCTGACATTGATTTTCCTGCCTTCCTATTTCACTCATAGGAATCTTTGTGATTACCCTGGGCCCACCCAGATAATCCAGGATAATCTCTCCATTCTAAGGTCACCTGGTTAGCAACCTGAATTCCATCTTCAACTTTAATTCCTGCTTGCCATGTGAGGCTACATATTTTCAGGTTCCAGGAATTATAACTTGGACACCTTCGTGGTCTGTTACAGAGCCTCCCACAGCAAGGTTAAGTGGCTGCCCAACTCCTGAGTCAAAATCTTCCAATTTTCAAGCTCAGTCAAATACTATGTGAAAATAGCCATTTCCAATGTAATCCTTCCTTCTTTTCAGGATGTATGTGATGAGTTTAGAAGTCAAATGAAAAAGGGACGACTTACTTGCACCCGAGAAAGTGACCCTGTCCAGGGTCTAAATGGCAAGACACATGGCAACCTGTGTGCTATGTGTAAGGAAAAACTGTGAGTTATTTTTCAAAAATGGGCCTTTAATTGTGAGTCTTAAAGGAAATAATCGTTTCTCATCAGCTTGAGAAAATGACAACTATTTTTAAAGCACACCTGAGGTGTTTGTTCACTTTAGTTGAAACGTTTCTTCTCATGTTTTTCTTCAAGGGGAAGGGAAGCAGCCAAAAGAAAAACGAAAGAGCAGGACTACATGAGAAACACAGTTGAAAAGAACAATGGAAAAGAGGTAATATATGTTAGATGTGCTTATACTTAAATTTGGATGATTGGTTGCAAGACTGATTCATTCAACAAATACTTATGGAATGCCTACTCTGTCCCAGTCATTGTGGATATAATGATAAACAAGAAAGACATGGCCAGAACGTCAAAGAAACAGCATGGAATTCAATGCCCTAAGAGCAACTCTGATGCAATTACCACACATTTGCAGGAACAGTGGTAATTGTCAAATTATTGTTATCATCGAGTGGATTTTTTTTTCTGAAGTTTTACAACAATTAAGCAAATAGATGCCAAAATTACACACAAGAAAAAAAAGTATCAAAAGCTTGGAGCTCCAGATGATAAATTGTTGACTTGGCATTCTAGTGCCATCTTGTATTCAATTGGGGGTTTTAAAAATAAGGTTCAGGGCTTTACAATAGCAGCACAAAGAATATGACAACAGCACAATCTCTTCCGC